GCTTGACCACAGTGTGTAATAATAGTATATTATGTATCAAGTTTGATTATATACACCATTTTAGTAACGAATTTAATTTAGGCACTTGCAAGCTAGTGCTTAATTAAATGGGTGCCTAGAAAAGTTTATAAACGTGTTGCATACTATTCTTTTTCTACGACAAATACTTAATATTATCTAAAAAATCATTTAAATTAAATATTTGTATAAAGCAGCATCTATACGAAAATAAAGTAACCGAGTAACCATCACAATAAACCTTTTTTACGTAATTTTCACCAAAATTGCCAGTTATTATTTTAATTAAACTTAACAATTATATATACTTTAAAATATTAAACTAAATTCAAAATATTATCACGTATTAAAAATTCTTACACGGAAATGTTAAAAAAGTACAAAAAGTGAAAGTTGTATTTATTGGAATTCCAGTTAGAGTTTCTAACTTGGGAATCTACCAGCGTTAAAATCTTAATTTTTTCTGTGTAATTTAAAATTTATCCCTTAAAAATAGACTAACAATCTATAGAAGCAAAATTTGTGAGTTAAATCTAGTCAAGAAACTATTTAATACTTTTGTATTTTTGTATTGAGATCAGAGCTGTCAAAGATACTTTTAAAAAGTATCTAGATACAAGATAAGTTACTTTTTGAAAAAGTATCCGAAGTTACTTTGGGTATCTAGTTACTCTTTAAAAAAAGGAACTTAAATACTTATCTTAAGTTACTTTTTAAGATACTTAATAAGATACTTTTTTAGTTACTTTGTATATTATGTAATAAGTTTCGTATAAACCGCCCAACAAAAATTCGTTCCAACCCCAACCTGATTTTTCAAATAATTTTAAGCTTACTTTTTTAACAATTTTTTTTAATAAAATCTAGTTGATTAAAACCATTGAAGGGTCTAATGCAAAAAGTGTCTAACTTAGGCACTTTTAAAATATCTTAAAAATAAAAAGAGATAAAATCGTTAATTAAACACCACTTAATTATAAAAATAAAAAAATTATCTCACACTTTTCATTTAATATTTTTTAACATTTTTTTTAAATTTAAAATGGAAAACATACATTGAACATTATAGAATGTACGGTACAATGTAACAACCAATATCCTACATCAGTACATCATAAAGAAGCAAGTGCAAGTACTTACCTAACCTAACTTATTTCAGACTTACCACTATAAATTCAAGTCGCAACGAACGGAAACACCCTTCTACAGAGCGGGTGGCGAAGTCACAGATTATAAAAGAAGTATAGGTGAATAAAAATTAAGTAGGTATAACAAAAATTGCCGCCAGTAGATTGGCGCCAGTCGCTGAAGTCGCCAGTATACTTATTATAATAACTTCGATGGCCGCGGCCGTTTCGAACAACTTGACTAAGGGCCGGTTTATCAATCTCTAGTTAAGTTCCAGTTAGTCTATCTGACAGTTAAATTTCATATCGATCGTTGTGAGAACAATGGTATCCATGGAAATTATCTAACAGATAACTAACTGCAACTTTAACTGGACATTGATAAACCGGCCCTAAAGGAACTTTTCTTGTGGTATCTTAGATACTTTTTGGTATCTAAGTTACTTTTTGGTATCTAACATACTTTTCGGTATCTAAGATACTTTTTTTAAGTTACAAGATACAGTTCCTTTTAAAAAGTATCTAAGATACTAAATACTTTTTGTTAAAAAAATAAAGGAACTAAGATACAGTAACTTAGATACTTTAAAGTAACTAAGTTACTTTAAAGTAACTAAGATACTTTTTTCTGACAGCTCTGATTGAGATAATAAAATAATTTTCACATTTAGTATTATTTTACAAGAAAAGCAATTTATTTTAACGATTGTATGACATTTGACAACTGTCAACTAACTTAAAACAACTTCCGACTAAAGCGCCATAAAGCCACAACTTCTCAATGTGTATTTAAAATTCACTTAGTGTCATAAAAACATGTACAATAATGGGCGTTTTAAAGGTGGGAGTATAAAAACTACATTATAAACATTAGTTTTTGCATAATTTTTATAAAAAATAGTTAAACATTAAACATGTTTGTTTAAACCTAATATGTGTATCTTTCACTTTTTAGTTCATTAATTTTTAAACAAATCTAAATAAATATTGGATATATTGTAATATATTTTTAAAATTGCAATAAAAATAAATCAAACATTATAAATAAACAAGGGATAATTAATTTTACGTTTCCATGGATATAAATGTTGTAAAATAAAATTCATGTTTTTAACAGTATTTTAGTTTTTGCTTTAATTATTTTCATTTTATATTTTAAATTTAACATATTTTTTGTTTTAAGGACAATATTTACCATTTTTTTTATTGTGGATTTTTAATTTTTTAGGGTTAAATTTTTTTGAATCTGTCTTTATTTGATTAGTGTGTTTAAGTTTAAACTGTGGGTACCTAGGTTTTATTTGGCTATAAATTGTAGTGATTTAAAAAATTTATTTAATTTTCATAGAGTTTCCTAAATTTCTTGTGGCTACAAATTATGTACAGGGTGATCCCCTATAATGTCGCCCCCTTTAACTTTTTTATTTTAAGTGTCCCAAAAAATTTAAAAGTGTGGTTATGTAGGTACTAAAAAAATACTTTTATTTCTACGTTTAAAAAAATGGAAAATTATTAATATACATGGAAAACAAAAAGATTTTTTTTCAATGGATCACCCTGAATTTATTTTTCGATTCCTTGTAAAATTCTGAGCATAATTCATATAACAAACCATATACCTAAATTCAACTGTTTCTGAAATATTCGCATTCGAAATGTTATCATTAAATGTTTTTTTAAACTGTTAGAAATCAAGAAGCCTCAGTATACCAAAATTTTTATTTCATAAATTACTATAGTGACATAACGTCAATATGTATTTTTAAATAAGTAAAAATGGCGTACTCAGACAGAGAAAGACAAACTATTTTAACTTATTAGCTTAAAAATAATTTAAATATTTCAGAAACGGTTGAATTTAGGTATATGGTATGTTATATGAAATATGCTTAGAATTTTACAAGGAATCGAAAAATAAATACATATATAGGGTGATCCATTGAAAAAAAATAAACTTTTTGTTTTTTCCTGTATACTGATCAATTTTCCAATTTTTTTTATACGTAGAAAAAAAGTATTTTTTAGTACCTACATAACCACTAGGGTGTGCCAAAAAACCTCGATATATTTTTTTTCTTGCTCTCAACCCAAAATATCGTAGAATATGTCCGAACAAATATTCTGTTAAAAGCGGAGCTCATAATTTCAATTTTAAGAGGTCCTCCATCGAATCTGAAGTTTTGCCGCTTAAATAACACAGAAAACTGACTTTTTTACCTTATTTATTCTTGCAACCTAGGAAGAAATTTTTTTTTCATAAAATCCATGACTAATTCTTACAAAGCATTAAATTTGGACAAAAAAATCCTATTAAGCTGAATTTCTATTTTCAATATTTAATTTTTTACAGAGCTTTAAATTTAAAGTTAATAATACAAAAATGATGACTTTATACGCCTGTAACTTTAAGAATATTGACGATACAAAAAATTCGCCTAAAACTTTTTTGTGGTCCATCAGACAAGCTAAAAAATTGCCATTTGACTTTTTCGTCTAACTTAAATAGTTTAGCTGAAAAAGGCAAAAAACGTAAAATTTTAAATTTAAAGCTTTGTAAAAAATCAAATAATGAAAATAGAAATTCGGCTTAATAGGATTTTTTCTTCCAAATTTAATGCTTTGTAAGAATTGGTCATGGATTTTATGAAAAAAAAATTTCTTCCTAGGTTGCAAGAATAAATAAGGTAAAAAAGTCAGTTTTCTGTGTTATTTAAGCGGAAAAACTTCAGATTCGATGGAGGACCTCTTAAAATTGAAATTATGAGCTCCGCTTTTAACAGAATATTTGTTCGGACATATTCTACGATATTTTGGGTTGAGAGCAAGAAAAAAAATATATCGAGGTTTTTTGGCACACCCTAATAACCACACTTTTTTTGACACATAAAATAAAAAAGTTAAAGGGGGGCGACATTATAGGGGATCACCCTGTACAGTAAAATTAATTTTAAAATTCCATATACAGGGTGTCACCTAATAAATTGTCATCCTTTGGGGGGATGATAGCACACGCCAAAACAAAAAAGTTTTTCCTCTATCACTTTTGCATTTTAAATAAAACAATTATAAAATATTTTTGACAAAACTAGGGAGCCACTGGATGTCACTGACCTATCCTATATATCATCATTGTTTTTACCTCTAAAAACAATCATATTATTCATCCTCTTAAAAAAGAAAAAGGTATGCGCACAATGTATTATAATACATATATGTAATATCAAGCAGACTTTTAAACTTATTCAAAATCGGTTAGTAGGTACTTTGTTATCATTGAATACTGACAGTTCGGTTGTTATTATGGATTCTCTGGGGCTACATCAACAGTTTAGTGTACCAGAGCGAAGTTGACAAATTAGTACAACTCCGCGAATTTGTCACTGCAGGGGCAGGTGAATTCCGAAGTCATACGGATATGATAGCAAAAGCGACACATCATAATTTTCTACGCCGCTGTCAACTTTGTGGGATAGTTGAACATTTATTATGATTTTGTGGAACACTTAAATAAATAGCTACATGAGCATCAATCGACGTAAAAAGTGAAAGGTGAAATTTAAAATCGACGGGAAAACCACGGAAACCTCGAGATACCTGACAATAAAAATTAAGTATTGTTTTATTCAAAGTACCTAAAAATAGCTGAGTATGCAAAACAAAAAACAATTATCAACAAAGTAATCAATAATAACATAAATGTAGATTATTGCCCACTGTGCAAGCATATTTTGCGTCAGTTGTCATAGGTCAGGAACAACCAGTGGCGGCCCAAAATTTCTACTTTACTTATAAAAAATTTAATGATTTTTTTATTAAAAAACGGCACCAAATTTTAAATAATTATTATATTTTCAGATACCACCACCAGTAGTCTGTTGGAACATAGCACCCAGTATGGGTCATGCCTACAATTGCCGTGAGGTGGAACTGGTGCCCATACCTAGATACTCTTTAAGGCCTTTGGAGAAAATGGGAACATGCCATGCCGGTGAAGTAAGCTAAATTATATTTATCTCCACGCGGTCTATAATTTAAACTTTATTGTTGTCAACATTCGATAAAGAAATACCTTGTTATGGCCTAGGCCGATAAAAAAATTTATGAGGCAAGTAATTAGTTCGATTTTTTCTCGCTAGGGGTATTGTTTTGACAAATTAATCCTTTAAACTGGTTTAATTTATTTATAATAAGCACTAATTTGTTTTTTTTACTGTTAATGTTTAATGTTTTCATTAAATTATTGTAAAATTAAATATGAATAATAAAACAAAAAGTGAGGTTAGGCAACCTAAAAAACGCACGATTCTTTTTCTACGATTTAAATTATCTTTAAGTTTTAATTTGCTTTAAGTTTTTAGTGAAATTAAATGTTAAACACAGCTTAAACATTCCAAACTAATTATTATTTAAATAAAAATCCAAAAAATTTAAATTAGATACCTACCTAGGTAGCTATAGCTATTTATTAAACAATTTATTGAATTCAATAGCTGGCCATACACAGACGTTATTGCGCGCGGTTTATCGTGTTATCTGCAAAAACATATGGAAAATCATGTACGTGAGTGAGTATCGCCGCCCGCAATGATAGAACGGGAAGGGATTTCAGACGTGCTTTCCTCTGGATTGTGGCGTACATCATTTCAGCAGTGTCCACACGCCACACGCCACATTCCGCGTCACGTGACACTTTTTGGCCACTCACATACGATTTTTCCTTTGAAACTGATATACCACGGGCGATCACTTGCTAAATCATTTGAATACTTTATCAAGTGTATGGAACATGACGCTTTTTTTGCCATGCCGTTCTTTCGTGCATACTAACCGCTACATCCCAACACGCCACGATAAACCGCGCGAAATAACGCCTGTGTATGGCCAGCTATTAGCCACGTCAAGTGGGACCAGAAAATTTCACGAAATCACCGATTTTGAAAATAATCACATTATTGTGTAGTAGGCATGACTCATATGTCACAGTAAAAAAATTGTTTTAAAATTCGTTTTTTTGGTAATGTTATTAAGGTTGACAATTTTGTCAAACTTTAGAGCACGGTAAAATTGAAAAAATAGAATCTCTGGGACCACTCTATATAATTGAATTAAATTTTACACACTATTGTAGAAATGTTTAGAGTATATAATGATCATTTAATTAAGGTTAATTTGTTTAAATAAAAGAATTTTGCATACATTTATTATAAACAATTGAAATTTTGTATGTGTTCTTCACGCTGAAAAAAATTAATCTTTTGTCATAATATGCGGCAAACGTTTCCGTTTAATAAGATGTACTCAAAAATTTGCCTTTCATATGTCATTCCGGAGATATTAATTTTTTTGTCCCGCTGTGCGCTTGATCAGTACGCGGCGCGCTTCGCTGCTAGCTCGTCCGTTCGAACGGTTTAACGGTGTGCCTGAACGAAGTTTAAGTCACATAAAAATGCCGCCAAAAACTGATTGTAGTTTCTTGTTCGGGACCCTTTGGTGACTTAAAAATGATATTTACCAAAGTTCTAGCTGCTCCTCTTTTCGAAATTGTTCGAAAATTCATGATTTTTTTTTAAATTTTTGTTTATCTCTTTGACAAAGTACACATTTGCGCACGGATTTTTATAAAATTGGAGTATATTATTAAGGAGACTTAGAGAATATTTTTTAATACTGTTCACATCATTTGATATATACAGGGTTAGCCAAAAATCACTTATTTTTAATAATGCAAAAGCGTAAATTCATGTTTTTTGCATAACACTCGAAAAATATTTATTCCCAATTTTTTTTAGATATTTATAGGTTTATCAGGTTACAAAATGGCATTATTATTAACCTTTTACAAGAAAAATAGATTTGTAATAACATTTAATAAAATAACGCTTAGAGAGTATTTAAAATGTTGTTTAGTTTAGGCTTTTTAGTAGTTTTCAATTTTGAACGAAAAATTGGTTGAAGTTAAAAAATATATTTACCAAAATTCTAACTGTTTTTAATTAATTTGTAAAAAATTCAATTTTTTTTAAATTATTTGTTTATCGCAAAGTCTACCTTTGCCAGAGTACACATTTGTACACCGATATTGTAAACGAGAGAAACTGTTTTTATATATATGCTTAGATTTATACAGGGTTAGACAAAAATCACTTTTTTATATAGTAAAAAGCATAATGCATAAAAAAGATTTTTTAAAAATTTCGAAAAGAGGAGCAGCTAAGATTTTGGTAAATATAATTTTTAAGTCACCAAAGGGTCCCGAACAAGAAACTGCAGAATTTTTATGTGACTTAAACTTCGTTCAGGCACACCGTGTGCTGACGAGCTAGCAGCGAAGCGCGCCGCGTACTGATCAAGCGCACAGCGGGACAAAAAAATTAATATCTCCGGAATGACATATGAAAGGCAAATTTTTGAGTACATCTTATTAAACGGAAACGTTTGCCGCATATTATGACAAAAGATTAATTTTTTTTCAGCGTGAAGAACACATACAAAATTTCAATTGTTTATAATAAATGTATGCAAAATTCTTTTATTTAAACAAATTAACCTTAATAAAATGATCATTATATACTCTAAACATTTCTACAATAGTGTGTAAAATTTAATTCAATTATACAGAGTGGTCCCAGAGATACTATTTTTTCAATTTTACCGTGCTCTAAAGTTTGACAAAATTGTCAACCTTAATAACATTACCAAAAAAACGAATTTTAAAACAATTTTTTTACTGTGACATATGAGTCATGCCTACTACACAATAATGTGATTATTTTCAAAATCGGTGATTTTGTGAAATTTTCTGGTCCCACTTGACGTGGTTTGACTCACATGATCACATGCAGTTTCAAACGACTCGATAAATGACACTTTTTGCCCACTCACATACGATTTTTCCTTTGAAACTGATATACTACACGCAATCACTTGCTAAATCATTTGAATACTTTATCAAGTGTATGGAACATGACGCTTTTTTTGCCATGCCGTTCTTTCGTGCATACTAACCGCTACATCCCAACACGCCACGATAAACCGCGCGAAATAACGCCTGTGTATGGCCAGCTATTTCAGCAGTGTCCATACACCACACTGAAAGAAATTTGTTGCTAAAAGTAAATACAAATTTATACTAAAAATTTTATACTAGTGCTTTACACATTTATACTACTGTTTATTATGAATGTATGTTAAATTTTGTAATACATTTATTGTAAAGAAGATATGTTAGATCTAAATAAAAATAAACTTACCCTTACTATAAAATGTAAACTATAAGTGAATTACAGCAAAAAAATATTGCTAGAAACACTATTTATATTGCTAGGGCAGCAATAGGCTGCTAACCAAACGAATATATTTGTTTTAGCAATGTATGTGGTAATCCATATATGAAATATAAAATATATTTGCCCTAATCATTTTTTTATTTAACTTTAGTATATATTTCTTTCAGTGCACACGCCACATTCCGCGTCACGGTTTACCTTTGCTTGGCAAAATTTCACGTTGAAAATTTGTACATGATCACACGCAGTTTCAAACGACTCAATAAATGACACTTTTTGCCCACTCACATACGATTTTTCCTTTGAAACTGATATACCACGCGCAATCACTTGCTAAATCATTTGAATACCATGCCATGCCATGCCGTTCGTTCGTTCATACTAACCGCTACATCCCAACACGCCACGATAAACCGCGCGAAATAACGTCTGTGTATGGCCAGCTAATATAATAGCAAAAATCCATTTCTACTTAAATCATGTAGCTGGGTAATAGCTGGCCATACACAGGCGTTATTTCGCGCGGTTTATCGTGGCGTGTTGGGATGTAGCGGTTAGTATGCACGAAAGAACGGCATGGCAAAAAAAGCGTCATGTTCCATACACTTGATAAAGTATTCAAATGATTTAGCAAGTGATTGCCCGTGGTATATCAGTTTCAAAGGAAAAATCGTATGTGAGTGGGCAAAAAGTGTCATTTATCGAGTCGTTTGAAACTGCATGTGATCATGTACAAATTTTCAACGTGAAATTTTGCCAAGCAAAGGTAAACCGTGACGCGGAATGTGGCGTGTGGACACTCCACACTCCAGAGGAAAGCACGTCTGAAATCCCTTCCCGTTCTATCATTGCGCGCGGCGATACTCACTCACGTACATGATTTTCCATATGATTTTGCAGATAACACCATAAACCGCACGCAATAACGTCTGTGTATGGCCAGCTATTGTCAAACTATTACTGCTTCTAAAAGCAATAATAATTATTGTACATTTAATGTAATCTTTAGCTAATAAATAAATGAGATTCTAAAAAAGTGAAGTTAGGCCGCTTTGATGTTGAATTAAATTAACCTATATAAAGTGCTTTGAAGATAAAATGTTGTATGTCATTTAGCCAAGAAGTGCCTTTTTGTGCTTCGCTCAATTGTAGGCCACCGCTACGCGGCGGCCTTCAAACCTTGAGCTTAGCACAAAAAGCCTTACTTCTTAACCTAATGACATAAATTACTATTTATGGAAAAAACCACCAATAATATTAAAAAACAAGTCTTGATATTTATTGATTTTCCTTTTCCAGATAACTTTATATGAGACCGATGGCCTTAGCGACATAATTCCAGGGGTATGCAATCTTGTGGCAGTCCGCACGTCTTGCCCCGAAAGAGTCGCCCCCAAAAACGAGGCGCCTGCGGTCAGCCCTATGGAATCTCTCAGAGAGGTATGTGTCCTTATGTCCACTCGATATGCCAACTATTTATATCAAAATTTGCACTTTATCTAGGTGAGATTCTTGGCGGGTCTCTCAGACCCGAACGTGTGCAGAGTGCTCGGGGTATGTACGGCCGAGCAGCCTCCTTGGACCGTGGTGGAATACGGAGACATGGGCGATTTAAATCAGTACCTGCAATTTTTGGTGAACAGAAATGGTACTGTTCACAGGTCGCAGAATATGTCAGATGGGCCCATAAGGTAAACAAAAAATGTTGTATGTAGTTTTGGTAATATTTTAATATTAATTTAAATATCAAGTAATGGTATTGTAAATTTTATTACAATGTAGAAATTATACAATCTAAATTTGATTTCGTTCATATTGGTTGCGTGCTTAATAATATGTAAAGCTTTTCAGTGCAGCTCAAAAGAACAATTTAAAATGAAATGTATTTTATGGATTTTTTTCTGGCTTATCTTTATATTATAAATTTACCGTGGTAAAATTGTAAAATTCTTCTAATTTATTTAAAACGAGTGGTATGTAAATTACGGGTTAAATTACATGGTTCTAATCGATAAGATAACGTGACACGAGTGGGTATTTGCAATTAACAATTATTATTTTATAGAATGGTTTTATCTTTTTAACATTTATGACGTGGAAAATTAAAATTGTCTTAAACAGTTCACTAAGAATAGTACATTATTTTATTTTTAGGACCTTTGTGTCGGGTCTGTAGGGTTTTGTTGATTTGTTACTTGTTATGTGACAGAGGCAAAATATTTATAGCCTGTAAAGCTCCTACTTACTGGCTAAGAGCGTAAACTATTTACCAACAATATATTAGGCGAGTTCGCGTCTATTTGTTGCTGCTTGAGGCGAGAGAATTGGAACTTGGACTTGCTCTAATTGGTGGTTTTATATCACATGACTGAAGATGTGGTGGGTGGCAGTTTGTGTTGCAGTGTGTGTAGAACGGGTGTTTTTGTTTTGACTCAGATTAAATTATTTAAAACTTTTGTCTGATCTTTTATAGTTTTTGTCTCGATTAGTAAAATTTATTATTTTATTATGGTGCACGGGGGTACACGCTACACAGGTAGAATTAGGAGTTTTTATTGAGCAACAATGTACAAGTCGTATTGAGTTTCAATTAAGGTTAGGTTTTCAAAATACCGGTAAGTTTTGTTTCGTTAAATATTTCTGTTTTTTCTTTTGAATGAATCCTGCCCATAACATTATTCTCTCAGTAATTGAAACGCCTTTTTTAAGAAAAAACGAAACTGACAAAAGACAGGTATTGGGCATTCGTCCAACGCCAAATTTTTTCTTCAATATTTAAGGATTAGAGGCAGGGTAAGCAATATTCACGAACTTTTCAAATATCTTGGTACAAAATCTATAAGTGGCTATGCGGAAGTATTTATAAACAAAGCTTATTCTGTTGGCATTTTATTTTATGAGGCTGCGTCAAAAATATATTTTTAAGTTTTAAAAAACGATTTTATGTTTTTAAGTTTTGCAATTTGGGTTAAGATTGGATTGATATTTTCTTTGTTTTGTTTTTTTTTTAGTTTATTTTTTATAATGGTAAAATTTAATTTAATTTGTAATTTGTAAATTTAAAACCGTAGATTGACAAAAAAAAAGGATTTATAAATTTAAAAAAAAAATATAAGGTAAATTATTTTAAATGTTAAAAATACCTAAAATTGTTTCAGAATTTCGAAATATTTTACTCAACTTTATGACAAAATTGTTGCAGATATTAAATATTTAATACCCTTTGGACCCAACTTGAAGTTGCCCATAATTAATTGGCTAATTTATTATTTTTTTGCAACGGTTATACCTAATATATTCATTTTGGAATTGTGCGCTTCTGTATCTATGCAAATGAGAATGAGTTATTAAATAATTAATTATCCAGACTTTTGCATAAATCATAAAGGGAAGACAGAAAGAAAACGCAGGAGCGCTGGCATTGTTATTATTTTTTATTATTATTAATAAATAATAGTTTAAGTTTTTTTCTATTTCATTTTGTTTCATGATAAAATGTTCTATCTCGAGGAGAATTTTTAATGAACTCAGTTCGCAATTAGTATCGATAATAATGGCCTCGTTATAGAAACACGGACTTTTTGATCGAATAATATCCTATGCTATTTTAACTATATTAATTATTATTCATATTATTTTCTATAATGTTAATTTTAAGTTTATAAATAATTTTTACGCTTTTAGTCCAGGAAACAAAGATTGTAGAAGGAAAACTCGATGGTAGTCGGGTTTTATTTTTTTTATGTAGGGTCAGGGGTGCTGACAATGAATCAAGAATATTCCCCAAAAATTTCTTTCCGCGTCCCCATATTTCATCCCCCGAAAGGGGAGTTTTCTTGCTTGTTGGCTCATAACTCGCTAACCGTGCATTTTTTCAGAATTTGACCTCCAATACTTTTGATTATGTACTACTGTCATTTTCAAGAAACACCCGCTTTCAGGAAAATGAAGATCTAATTTTTTTTTTGCTTAAATTGACTTTTGGTTGGATTTTTATAAATGTTTAAAGTTTTGTTTACTTACATTTAAGACAGGCAGTGCACTTTTTAATTTTTTTTACGTTTTTTTCAGAAAAATGTTTTTAGCTAGCTTTATATATCTCCACTGTGTTACCAATTTGAAATCCAAAATTTAATTCAATAAAAGAAGTAATTTGAAATAAAATGTAAATTTTTTATTTTATTTTTTATTAAAAATTGTATGCTTTTTTTAAATATTTATGTTCGTTAAGTTACTTTTTAAAAGAAACCATTCCGATTCTTTGTTAAAAAAACAATACCATTAATATTTTCTTTTAGTCGCTGCACATGTATTAGTGAGTTAAACTCTAATTTATAAACACGTATTACCAAGTGATAGTTTATAAAAATCATTTTAGGGATTTTTTTAACAAAAACTAAAAAAGTAACGAAATAGACATTGGTATCACAACGGTATCACTAGGGTACACAAAGGACTTAATCAGATAACGTAAAAAAGAAACTATATAGGGTGGTACGATTTTAGAGTAATGCATAAACAAAATCCCTTGTAGTGGTGCTTACTTGCCCAATAACAACTTAGATTTCTAAATTGTAGACACCATTTTTCTTTGACTATAAGCTGGTGAAGGTCTTGCGTCCCTTTTAGTACTTGTATATTACGTGGAATTTTCCCTTGGATGTAATCATGAGTTGTAATCACAAATAATTTTAAATTGGTTTATCATAAACTACTTTTAATAAAAGCGACGGTAAATATAATTTTTGTCGAAAAATTCTATTGCGTTACCCTAATATCCATTGCGTTACCATAAGGTAACGTAATGGACTCGGTAACGCAGTGGAAAAAGTTTTGTGAAACCATATTTAAAAAATAATAGTAAGACATTACAGTCAATAATTACTCTCAATGAGCTTTAGTGCGCTAAAATAAACATATTTGTTTATAAACATGAAAAATAGTATTTTTTCTTACCTTATTTTTATTATTTTTTTTTGAGTAACTTGGCGGACAAACAATTATTACCTTCGCGTTACCCGCATCTGTTTCAACCGATATCTTCTTCATGATTAAATAAATAAATTCAGCTGGGTAATGTGTACGTCCAAACATCATTTGTTGATAACGTGAGTGCCAAAAAAGTTGCCATATATATGTTTTTTAAATATTCTATCGGTAACGCGACGGACGTAACGCAATGGAAAAAATGTCTGGGACATGAGTCAAATTTAAAAAAGTAGATTAAAATTAATTAATTTATATATAAATTATTTACTGTATTAACTAAGGATGTTATGGATTACTATAAAGCAACACAAAGTTCTGGTTATTCAATATTTAAAAAAAACATGTAGGTATGTAAGTTTTATAAAACGCTAATGGGACATGCGAAAATGTGTGTTTCACAAGTTTCAAAATTAAAAAAAAATTATTCTGAAATAACTAAACAAACATTTTCTGAAAGAGTTTACTAAGGGCTTGTTAGTGCTTTCACTTGGTTTTTAAATTAATAAGATCCGATAATTTTTAACAAAGTTATTGGAATTCAAACTTACGGACAGCGGAAGGCGGGTGTTTTTTGAAAACGACCCAAATAAGGCACACGTTAAACCCCATTGCGCACATATATGATGTGGCCTTTTGCCATGCGCAGTGTGCAAAGTTAAGCGTTGCTTTCAAAATCACTTTTGTGTTTTTTTATTATAGCCGAATTTTAAAAGTAATCGATCCCAAACCTTACGGTAATCAAACATAACCGAATGGACGATTTTTTGAGGTACTAGACTTTTTTTAAAAGTTACTGCTTTTCAATGTACAGGGGGTCCTTTTTTCAAAACTTTAATTTTTGTGGGGCACTTGCAATGAAAATAACTACGGATTCGTTACGAGGATAAGTATACCTAAAAATCTAGGGTAGAACGAACTAGCTCATTAAAGCCATTTTTCCTTCTACAATCTTCGTTTCTCTCCTGGACTATTTGTAATATTTAAAAAGTAAATTAAATTGGGCGTCGAGACATTTTTTTATTGACCTTTTTTCTTAGGGACTGGTCCTACCTATTGTAGGTAACATCGTAAAACGGTGGATACGTGGATATTTGTTATTTTATTTGTGTTGTTTTTTGTTTCAGCGTCGGCAGCCTGATTTATATGGCGACGCAAATCGCCTCCGGCATGAAATACTTGGAATCGAAACACGTAGTGCACAAAGACTTGGCGGCCAGGTAATTCGCCATTTCAATTTCGTCATTAGCTTTTGGCTCTATCGACTCCATAGTCAGTCTATAGATAGCACTGGGCAAAGATTAAACAACTCTTTTGCTCGACTTTTCTCTGCAAAAAACGACTTTTTGTTAACGAGACAATAAAAAAAAAGTAAAACAGAATGGTGGATAAAACAAAGGTTTTGTTTTTATTGGCAACTGTTGTTTTGGACGTTAATCAAGAATGATATTTAAAATAAAAATGCTAAAACAAATAACATATCAGAGTGCGTTATGGAATTATCCAGTATTTACGAGAAACATTTTTCAACTTAAAAAAGTGATTTGGAAATAAAAAGCACTTTTACCAATTTTATTATAAAAAAAAAATTATTAAAACAAATTTTCTAGAGAACAGATTTAAATAATGTGAATTTATTTGAGAATAAACGTTACAATAAATTAAAATTTAGGAAGAAATAATACTTAGGTTTTTGTTAATTTGTTAAAACTGGACAATTGAAGATTAGAAAAAACTTTGTAGTAATTTTTAATTTTTTTTTGTAATAAAATTGACCATATAAGATTGGTTGTGTGTATATCTGGTACTAGTGCAAACAAAACACATGGATTTCGTAAAAAAAAACTTTGGTAGGTAGGCAAACCATATAGTTATTGGACACAGATTTTAGTTTTTTTCTTATAAATATATAGAAAGGATGTTTAAACTTTATGTACGTTAACTTAAAAATAAGAATATTTGAATTTTTTAAAATAGTTTTATAAAAACATGCAAAAAAGTATAGTAATTGGACATTTTATACAGTAATTGAACCATAGTTATTGGACATACAACTTTGTAAATATCATATAATTCATATATTTCTTTCTCGGATTCCTCATCCCTTTTCTGGATTCTGAAGGTACAGGGTGATCCCCTATAATGTAGCCCCCCTTTAACTTTTTTATTTTAAGTGTCCCAAAAAAATTTAAAAGTGTGGTTATGTAGGTACTAAAAAATACTTTTTTTTCTATGGATCACCCTATATATGAATTTATTTTTCGATTCCTTATAAAATTCTGAGCATAATTCATATAACAAACCATATACCTAAATTCAACCGTTTCTGAAATGTTCGCATTCGAAATGTTATCATTAAATGTTTTTTTAAACTGATAGAAATCAAGAAGCCTCAGTATACCAAAATTTTTATTGAAAATAAATTACTATAATGACACTATGTCAATATGTCTTGTTAAATAGGTAAAAATGGCGTACTCAGGCAGAGAAAGACAAACTATTTCAACTTATTATCTTAAAAATAATTTAAATATTTTAGAAACGGTTGAGTTTAGGTATGTTATATGAAATATGCTTAGAATTTTACAAGGAATCGAAAAATAAATACATATATAGGGTGATCCATTGAAAAAAAAATAAACTTTTTTTTTCCTGTATACTGATCAATTTTCCAATTTTTGTAGAAAAAAAGCATTTTTTAGTTCCTACATAACCACACTTTTAAATTTTTCGGGACACTTAAAATAAAAAAGTTAAAGGGGGGCGACATTATAGGGGATCCCCCTGTACCTACTAATTCCTTGGTCTGACTTCTGAAATAGTTTGTTGCAAATATCATTAGGTGTGGTATATTTAGTTTGTAAAGCATTTATAATGTTTAGGCTGGAACAGGATGATTTATTTATATCTAATATTTTTTCGGGTGGTATGTTAAAAGTATTTTCCGAATTTATTAATTTTGTTGCCATTAGTTTTTTATGTTCTCTATCATGCACTGTATTTAAATCACTGTTATTCTGCAAGACGTCCTATGACGAAGAAATCACTATATTACTTATTCTCTAAAAATGAATTAGTCAAAAATGTCATAGCGAAAAAGCAGCCACTAATAATTCTCGTCAACAGCAATTTGTATCCAGGACATTTAGCAGTCAATTCCTATGAAATATTATTCGCTGAATCCGAAAATGTCGTCAAAAGTTATAAAAGTGTTTTTAACGCGATTCCGTTCATAAAATCAGTTTTATAGTTCAAATATGCATTTTTGTAAAAAAATCACAGCTTGGCAGTTTTTTAATAGAAATTTCCATTTTTAAACTATTTTTACAAATTTTTTTTTAAATAGAAAGACGTTAAATTTTTTTTAAAGATTTATTATTATTTTTGACATATGGATACCGATATTTGTTTAATTATAACAACTACATGTAAAAAATTCTAAAAACGAATACCTTTTTAATTTTTGATTAACTTTTAACACAAACTATGTTTATGTCAATAAAATGAGCAAAAAATAAAATTGATTAAGACAAAAACAGAGACGACACATGCTCCCATCAACTAAACTCTCGAAGCACTCAAAAATATCATTCTTAATTAACGTCCAAAACCAATAGGTCTGCCGTTTCCAATAAAAACCTTTTTTGCCGACATTCTTTTTTTGTTTTACGTCTCTTTGTTGTCTTAGTTTTTGTGTTTCGTTTAATAAAGAGTGAAAACACAGCAGGCATTTGTGCACAACTGAGTTGTTTAGCTTTGTCTACAAAATAGTTCTCTTACACACAACCAATCTTATATGGGATCACCTAGTAATTACGAGAAACAGTATTTTACTTAAAAAAATGAATTGAAATTTATTTTATTAAAAAAAATATAAAAATATTAAAACAAATTTTGTATTGAACAAATAACAAAAAATGTGAGATAAACTTTACGGTAAATTAGAATTTAAAAAGAAATAATAAGATTTGTTAATTAAATAATCAGTATTGCCACCTCTAGCATCAATGTGCTTTCTATTAAGTTATGAATTTCTTCTTGGGAAACATTTCCTCACCCATCTAAAACTGCTTTTATTACTTTCTCTGAATTGCCAGAGCTATTTTGACTAGCTATAATCCTTCTTTTAACCTTATTCCATAAGTTCTCAATTCGCTTAAGTCACACCTTCCATTTCCAAACAATTTTTGTCAACTCTGCTGGTAAATGGAGGTGCATTATCCTGTATAAATCACGAAAAGCATATTTTTAGAGCCTTACTACGGGTTTTAGAACTAATTCCATATACACTTTTCTATTGTAATTTTACTAAACTTGTTAAGGAAGTTTTTACGCACCACAATATAGTAATAATAAAACTCTGTTTTGTAAATTCACTACAAGATTTATTAGAACTCAATTTTGGAAAATTACAAAACGTTTGTTGAAATTTACTAAGCATTTATTTAAAATTTGTTCAGTAACATTACTACTTACTACAGGTATTGTAATTTTGCTAAAAAAATACTAAATATGTTTAGTAATTTTAAAATGGTGTATTGTAATTATACTATACAATTCATTTCAACTCAGTTCAAGAAAATTACAAAATATATTTTATCATTTTACTGAACTGAAGAAAATTCGTTTTGCAAGATAACAATACAAATATTGTTATTTTGTACAACAAATTACACTAAAAATATTTAGTAATTCACGAATGATGGTATTGTAATTATACAACGAAAAAAAAACATATTTTCTTAGTTTCTTCAAGAAACTTGACCCATTACTGTAAAGATTTAAAAAAATTGAACCTTCACCTCGCCAGAGTTTTTGTTTTAAGTGTGTTCCACCAACTTCAAATACCGACAGACAGCTAGACAGATATACCTATTTTGGGTCTTATCAATGTCGGGCAATTTGGTGTATTGGAACACACCAAAAACGAAAGACACCTGAGCTTATATACTGTCCACCTAAGTCAACCGAGGCGAGATGTAAGAACATCACGTGATTGCCGAAATCGGTACATACTATGTATTTTACATAACATTATAGCAAATCAAATTACAAACAATGTTTGTAAATCTGAGATGCTTTTTATTAGAAACTGTCAAACTGTTTAGTAAAATTACAATGCGTGTAGGATTTGTACATATAGATTGGAAAATTACAATTTATCTTAGTAGATTTCCCAATATGTCTTGGAAGATTACTCAAATTGTATTGGTATACACTGATTTGTGATTTTACTCATCCTTTGTTTTGCAAAAGAATTGTAATTTAAAAAAATGTTTAACAGTATACATGAATAAAATGATATATAGTAAAAATGCAAACAGAAGTTGTATAAAATAAATTATGATTTGTATATTTCGAAACACTTATTGTAATTCAAATAGCAAATTTTGGTTAGTAATTTTATTGATTATCTTAGTAAAATTAAATTCCGAATATGTATAGAAATTTTACAAAATTTCAAATTCAATTCTATAATACAGAATAGTAAAGTATCTGACAAAAACAAAAACATTGTAAAATTGGAACCTATTTATACTTTTGCTATAACAAAATGTAATATTACAACAAATGCGTATTAAAATTGCAATACAATAAAACATTTTGTAATTTTACTATGCAAGTGCTTAGTAAAAATGTAGTAATTTTACAAACATTTTTAACAGTGTCGTCGAATTCGTGCTTGTTTTGAGGATATAGGTGGAAACACTTGTGATTAAATTTACAGAAACATATTATTTCTTCCTAAATTTTAATTTATTGTAAAGTTTATTCTCGTAATTACTGGGTGATTCCATATAAGTTTGGTCGTGTTTATATACATGTATATGGTACCTGTATAACATATATATTTTTCAGAAATTGTTTGGTGGGAAGGGGCTACGTAATAAAAATTGCTGACGTGGCTATGTGTAAACCTCAGTACAGAAAGGACTACGCAGAAATAGGGGGGCGACCTCCTACCCCAATTAGATGGCTACCTTGGGAAAGCATCTTATTGGTGAGTAAAATTGACATAAAAAAATATTAAATAATAATATACATAATTGAAAAACGTTCGTACATCGTTCGAGTTCTTTTCGCATTTACAAACTAACTAGTATTAACGTTCAAATAGGAAATCCTCGAAAGAACATAACAATAAAAATTGATGGTATCTATCTCTGCTCTATCTACTAGTTCGTGATATTTTTCAAGTCAACTTAGTTGATATGCCTCCTTCGAGACCGGACCAAAGACTCCGGCTGCCGTTAAGTTTTATTTTTTTTATAAAGAACTCGGCCGCACGTTGTAACGCGTTTAGTTTTTTAAATTGGGTCTTTGGCTCGCAATAAATAATGCATCTGCTGCTGGAATACAAATTAAAGGTTTAAAGGATTTTTTCATTTTTAGGACCGATATTCTTGCTCTAGTTCAGTATGGTCGTTCGCTGTGACACTTTGGGAAATTTTGACTTTTTGTTGCGAGAGACCTTTCGCCAATTTATCCAACGAAAAAGTCATTCAGAATACTGAACATATGTACTATGGAGGAGAATTACAGGTAACTATAACTTGTAATTGTAATTTATTGTTTTTTGTATAAAACAAAAATTGAAAGCTTTTTTCTTTTCATGAAAAGACAGAAGATTGATTGCAACATTAAACGAGAAAATTCGTACAATTTTACGTTGGCATTATTGCGTTATTGCTAATTCACAAAGAATAAAAACTCGTACGTTAACTTAATCTAGCAAATTGACTGTGCACTGAAACGTTCAACGTTTCCTTTACAGATAAAAATGTTATAGCAAAACTGAATTAAGCAGAAACCTCAACAAAGAACGATTTTTAACTAATTTCATGAAAGTGCAAAGAAAAGTACTTTTTATTAGTTTTAAAATATTAATATTGGCGCATTCACCATTTTTGACAAAGTTTAGCGTTTCAAAAATGGCGAATGCGCCTGGTTAAAATGTAAAAAAATAATAAACAAGTATAGTTATAGGGCTTAAAGAATATAATTTATTTAAAATTTATTTTTGCCGTTTTAAAGATTTTAGTTTTTTTCTTATAAATATATAAAAAGGATAGTTTTTTAATAGTTTCATAAAAACATGTAAAAAAGTATAGTTTAGTTATTGGTAGAGATGCGACTTAAAAAAAACGGTCCGTTTATTTTGTTTTTTTTTTCAGGTTTTTTTTTCATTGTTTTTTTTTCAAATGTTTTTTTTCACATTTTAGGATTTTTTTCAAGATTAGTCCCAATTGCCTAATTTTTAAGTTTCCAGTCCAGTTCATGGACTAAAATTAGTCACTAAATGACAATTAGTAATTGTAAATACAGTCTCGCGCTATGCACGCGCCACCACCACCGAATTGACCAATAAGGACCGCACTTGTTTTGATTTGGTCCTAAAAAAAGTATCTACATATAATATTTTTGATTCAGCGCTTGATTTTTCAAAAAGCTACCAAAAGCACTTTTTCCATGATTTTTCAAATTCATCTAGAGTATGGATTTTTTTTTCAAAAAAGCAATAGCAAATTCTTGTAGAACATTTGTGGTTAAGTCAGAACATTCCGTGGACCAGAAAGCCAAAAAAATCGATTTTTTTTATTACTGTATTCGTTAAGATTGAGCGTTGCACATTTTTTATCTAAAAATCTCAAAACTAGAAACTTCAAGCTTCAAATTGCTTTTTTTACGGCTCCAATACGACCATTTTTAACAAAGATACAGCTATCCGAAGAATCGCAAAAAAAATTGTATCCTTTAATTTTTTGTATTAGTATAGAAGTACATTGCTATTGGTTTCTAATGTGGAAACTACCAAATAATAAGAAATCAGATTTTTTAGTCTCGGTCAAAATTTTCAATAATGAAAAATGTAATATATTCTATATTTCACTTTATTATTAATATACATTTTACTTAAAATTTTATTTTGAAAAAAAAAAACAAAAAAAACCGTTTTTTTAGGTTTTTTTTCATGTTTTTTTTACATCTGAAAAAAAACCGTTTTTTACATCTCTAGTTATTGCAATAACTCCATGGACATACAATTTTATATAAACAACTTACTTTACATCAAATAACATAAAGTAGTTTATTAGTTTATTATTATTAATAGTTTTTGACGGTCTTTTCGGATTCAGGGAACAATTTTACGACAATTTTACATAGGAATTGGCTGGTAAATGTGCGGGATACAAATAGAGTATTATATTGGACACCCTGTATTTAAAAATAAAAAATACAAATAAAACTTCATTGTTGCATTGTGTAATGGAGTCGATAAAAATACTCAAAGCCATTTTTATACTTTTTATACGCGCGAATCGAATTTATAAATATTAAATTCTTGCATTGAATCGCATTGAGCGGACTGAGAGCTGAAAGGAGGAAATCAAATACATACCATAAAGCTAATGGACTATTTACCATTTTCGATTTGTATCGTCAAAAAATTCGATTATCAGCCTTGCGAAAAACGACGACCCGAAAGAATGTGCCTACAAAATACCTCGATGACGGAAAAATATAAGGGAAAGAAAGATGTAGGAAATTTAGTGCTTCCTGTCGCGTGTTTTCAGCTTTTACAATTTTTCAGAGGTTTTTTTTCTTCAATTTTTAGATTGCGACCTTTTTAGTGGCTCATCACCTAAACACTATTTTAAATCTTATATTTTTTTAAACTCGACTAAACATTAAAAATAATAATAAAATTTATAAATTTAAAATATTTTCAATTACCTATCATGCATTGCAAGACAAAATTTACTAACAGTTCACTTCTGTATTAAACAATATTATTTCCAATCAATTTTTGCGTTCTTTAATAAAAAATAATTTCTTAAGTATAATAATTAACTTTTTAATCTATTTTGGTAGAAAATGTTTTATGTGTTTTTATTTTAAATGTACCGACACTATTTTTAAATACTAAAAAATTTAACTTTAGCAATAATTTCTTAAGTATAATTTATTTGGGCAGAATTTTGTAAATCGTAAATAAATGTTTATAATTAGATTAAATAATTTAATCTAATTATAAACAGTTATTTACGATTTACAAAATTCTGCCCAAATAAATTATACTTAAGAAATTATTGCTAAAGTTAATTTTTTTAGTATTTAAAAATAGTGTCGGTACATTTAAAATAAAAACACATAAAACATTTTCTACCAAAATAGATTAAAAAGTTAATTTTTTTAAATCTCAAAACAACTGATAATCAAAAAATATTTTAAATATAAAATGCAATTGTAAAAGTTTAAGTTTAAAATAAAATAAGTACCTATTGGTTTTTAAAAATTTAAATTTAATATTTTATTCTAAAAAATTATTGGTTTAAATTTGTAATGAGTCCTTTGAATGATAGTCGATCAATTTTTAATACAAAAATTCTCAAATTACATTTAAATGTTTTAAATTTTAAATTGGTAATTTTTAGATTAAAAATTTATCGACTATTATGTAACTGACTCTTGAGAAATACTATGCTTCTGCTAAAACTACGTTTACACTTTGTAATTTAAAAATTATCGACTTACATTTTTCAATTTAAAGTTATAAATTTTGTGTTAAAAACAGGGTTGGAATAAGTCATGACTTTTTAAAAAAAGTCAAAATGTCCGACTTTGTGAATTAAATTCAGACTTTTTTGAATTAATTCACTTACTTAAATAAATATATTTTTTTTGCTTACTAAAACACAACACAAAATAACAAGTTTTTATTTTCATCAAAAATCTTAAATTATTTTATGGTTGGCAACAACCAGCGTTTCCAGATTCTGTCAAAAAAGTTGCCAAATTTTGTTTAAAATTAGCTTAATTACAAAAATGAAAAAATCAACAATGCAAATTGTTGATTTGGCGTTTTTATTAATTGTTGATTATGTCATTTTTGTAATAAAGGTAAATTCAAACAAAATCTGTCAACTTTTTTGACAGAATCTAGTGCATTTCTTTCAAATTTTTGGTTATGTGCTCAAATTGTAATTGTCTTAACTAAGGGAATTATTCACAAAAATGTTTTAAGTTTAACCTGTGAACTCGTCCTAATTTCATCTGAGTATACAGGAAGAAAAAGACCGATGAAAAAATTAATTTTGTGGTTATGGAGTTTTTAAAATAGCTACTAAATTTTTTAATCATTACTTAAGCTAATAGCTGGATGAGTAAATAAATACAGAAGGGTATTAGGGCTTTAAGGGCATAAAACTTTTGTATTAATTGAGTTTTTGCAAGAAAATTTTTTAGTAACAATTTTTTACAACTGGCAACGCGCAGCTACTTTGTTGGTTGGTATCTATGTACTCACAGAACACAAGTAAGTAACCAGTGGCGTATCACAAAAAATATAAAAAACTTCTAATGCATATTTTTTCCTTATCTTTGGGAAAATATTTTTCCGTTACACCTTATGTTAAAAGGTATTCAGTATTTTAATATATTACATTAATTACATTTAAATCTACTAATTTGACTATTTCACTCAGTAGTATTTGACTAATTATTAGTGCCTGCTTTGTCGCTGTAGCAATTAATCAAATATGACTTATAATTAGTTATTTTTGACTAATTAATTTTAAGAGAGTAACTACAAACTTTCAATAGAAACAAAACTTTCAATAGAAACAAATGGCTTAAAAAATTATTCAGATTTTCTAAATTTATCTAGAAACGTGCAATCTTAATCTGAATAATTGGGGTGAAACCTTCCGACCTCCCCACTCTTTCGTTGTTAGTTTAAAATCATTTAGAAAACGTCACTCTTAATCCCTTTAAAATATAACATAACATTTTAACCCCAAGAACAAGTTAATCCAATTTAATGCCGCCGTTCCTGCTGCTTTGTAAGGAACGGCCTTGCTTCTGCCGCTGCCTGCCATTTCAATTTCCGAAAGACTACACATGTGACAGCGAGCACTAAATTCCCTTCCTACGTATAAGTCTTCCTAGAACATTTTTCGTTCAAAGGTATTTCGGCGACATACTTTTGGTTCGTCGAATATTATGACGTCCGACTACACTAAACAACGTTTTAAATCTTTATTTATTTTTTACTATTTTTGTTTAGGTACTTATAGGGGCATTTCTTTAATTTTTAGATTACTACAAACAATTAAAATTGTTAATTTGTTGTTATGATTGCAAAATTAAGGCTTAAAACTGTCATATTTTTGCACGATATTTAAAATGAAAACTTGAAAAAGGCTAAAATTGTTTTGTGTGATTTCCATAAAAATTAATTGTAATAATCAATATCTAAGCATCGAGTGTTATAGGGTAAACCACATAGTTATTGAACACTTAAGGAATATTATTTATTTAAAATTTATATATGCCGTTGTTTTAAAAAAATTAGTTTTTTTCTTAAAAATATATAAAAAGGAAAGTTTGTTTGATTGGACATTTTATATAGTAATTGGACACATGGACCATAGTTATTGGACACACAATGTTTATATAAACTTAACAAAGATAAATTGCTGTTTTAGGTAATTTTTTTATTTCGTTTTTGTAAATATCATATAATTCATATATTTCTTTCTCGGATTCCTCATCCCTTTTCTGGATTCTGAAGGTAACTACTAATTCCTTGGCCTGACTTCTTAAATAGTTTGTTGCAAATATCATTAAGTTTGGTATCTCTAGTTTGTGAAGCTTTCGGTGAAGCATTTATAATGTTTAGGCCGGAACAGGATAATATTTTTTCGTGTGGTATGTTAAAAGTATTTTCCGAATTTATTAATTTTGTTGCCATTAGTTTTTTATGTTCTCTATCATGTACTGTAGGTATTTAAATCACTGTTATTCTGCAAGATGCCATTAGTTTTTTATGTTCTCTATCATGTACTGTAGGTATTTAAATCACTGTTATTCTGCAAGATGCTCGGCAAGATGTCCTGTGACGCAGAAATCACTATATTACTTACTCTTTAAAAATGCATAAGTCAAAAATGTCATAGCGAAAAAGCAACCACTAATATTTCTAGTCAAAGCAATTTGTATCCAGGACATTTAGCAGTCAATTCCTATAAAATATTGTTCTCTGAATCCGAAAATGTCGTCAAAATTATAAAAGTAGTTTTTGAAATATAATCAATGTTAAATATAATATGGAATTGACTATATCTCAAAAACTGCTTAACTTTTATAGTTTTTGACGGTCTTTTCGGATTCAGGGGACAATTTTACATAAGAATTGACTGGTAAATGTCCGGGATACAAATAGAGTATGATATTGGACATGTCCAATGATGGAAATTTACATTTTTTACCAACCAGTAATTGGACACTGGACATTTTACTGTTTGTTTTCAGAATTAAAATTAAAAAGAATTAAAGTGACAATGTTTAAACCATGAGGAACACATTTATACCACACACTGATCTGTACACTTTTTAGAAATATTTTTTATTGTTATTTAAACACAGCCCTGCTCTTAACAAAAAACAAAAATCTTATCACCAAAGTAACGTGCGAACTTTTTTGTCCTTTATTGGACCCAAAATAAAGTAGTTCTATATTATTACAGACTGAAATATTTATATTTGTATACAGCGTCATCTAATGATTTGACTTTAAGGTAACTATTTATAGAACTCTTTTTTTTACAGTATTTATGTTAATTTTCCAATAACTGTTAATAATGTCCGATAACTGTCTACTTTACCCTACTCTAATAAGTAGATAATTAAATGATTTTTAAAAATAAACAAATAAATTCTGACTTCTGACAAATGATTTACCTTCCTTTTTACCAATTTTAAATGTTATTATCGCTTTCTTCCAATTAAAAACCCGATCGGTTCAAATCACAGTGAATATTGATGCCTTACAACTTGAATAATGAGTTCATTATTCCCGTTGTCAGGCGGGGTATTTATAATGTTTATTAACGAAAAAAAAACAATAGTATGCATTATCAATGCTGTACAAAAATCTGTAAATATTTGAGATGCCTCACAAAATGATATATTAAAAACTCTTTAAATTAAGATACTACCTAGTTACGCAGTAAACACAACCGTGAAGGTTCTATAAGGGCCCTTTATAAAAGAACTAAAGGCCCTATAAAGGCAGTCAATAAAGAACAAGAACCATTCCATTTTTTAATATGGTGCGCTAAAGGTTCTGATATGGTTGATTAAAGGTACAAATGTGGCAAGCTCCTGATTAGGGGTGCATTGCAAGACCTTATCACGACCGCCTTTTATCAAAATTAATATTTTTATTAAAACATTTTTTGTAAATTTTTTTTGTAAAAATAACAATTTTTTTTTAGATTTTGCTCAACAAGCCGACGTCCTGCAGCCCGGAAATTTACGAGCTGATGTGCCAGTGCTGGCGTCGCGACGACACCGACAGGCCGTCGTTCAAACAGATTTATCTGTTTCTCAAGCACAACAACAAGGAATTTGTTCCAAACGACTGAAATTAACCGAAAAAAAAAATTCACTGTTGAAATTGACAATTTTTAGTGAAAACGCTACAAAACAATCGTGTAAATTGTAAAAAGACGTGCAGGATGACAAATACTGTATTAAAATGCAAAAATGTATAATAAAAAATCAGTTTAAACTATAAGTTAACTAACAATTAAAGTTACCTTTCATCAGCAGACCCATTTTCCATCATAACTTCTCACAGACGTTCCACACAAAAAAGTTTTTTATCACACACTACAGAAAACATACGAATCTATCAAGAAACACTACATTTCGAATAAAACGCGTAAATGTACCACTTTAAAACACAAAAAACTGCCGATAAATTAACAAAAACACAAATGGCCGCCACGTACCTACCCTTACAATAAACAAAACAACAGCGAATGACGCCACTTCATAATTCTTAAAGCCTTCTTGATCCATTATTTTGTGTTGTTTTAAACTCAAATTACATTAAATGTATGCTTAAATATTATCAAAACCAAAAAAAACTTGTTCTACAACAAATTTTAAACATACAATAACGCTTTTTAAAGCTTACAAAATAAAAATAAGGCAAATTTTATCAAATTATAATTTTGACAATTCCATCTGTCAAATTCAAATCGAAAGCTGCAGTGTTGCAGAACTTACTTTTACAAGGTAATGCTATTTTATTGTTTCAACTTAAAAAACATTTCAAACGTATTAATCTTATTAATCGTATTAATACCTTATAAAATCATTAATTATTGAATTTAATGAATATATATATAGTTATGTCACCCTGTACAACGATTTGTCTATTTGTAAATACTTACTAGGGGTAAAAAAGCGTCTTAATTAAAAGATGAACTCTTATTTTATCTCATATCAAGTGATGCATTTTCATTTATCACACTTGCCTTGCCTGTATAGATATTTACCATAGAGAACCCCGACGATTTTATCTGTATTTTTGGTTGCCTACCTCCATACTGCACATAGTGGAAAATCTCAATTTTTCACGATGTGTTAAGCTTATTTCCCATTAAATAGTCATAGATTACTATTATTATCTATAATAGATAAGATTTTTTACGATGTAGATGTTAAAGTTTGTAAGAATTTGACATATCCTAGTGCTCATTTTTATACAACTTTAGATAGGTAAATTATAAGTTTAAAATTGAAATGGCTCATTTGAATGCGTAGACCATTTTATGTGGAGTCACAAATAAAGTGTTTTGTTTCGAGTTAATTAATTTTCATCTCTTGTTCTAGAGCAGTTTGCTAACTTTATAGTATACTGCAGAGTAGTTTTATTACAGAAATGATTTAATTAAAAAGTTTTGTACACCTCTAGCTTTGGATTTAACAAATTTATCGCCAAAAAACCTTTATTTAATCCCACTTATTTGGTTGGGCATGAAAAAGGATAGGCTGATTTCAAAGCAATAAAACTGCTTTTTTGGACTTTGTTTTAATGCAATGTAATGATATAACAAAGAAATTTATCAAGAGTCAAGAGGTTCAAGTGACATATGTAATTGGACCTTTTAAACAAAAGAGAATTAACTAATAAATAAAGTAATATTATCAAGTGCTTCCAAAAAAAAACTTTTGCATCTATTTAAATTGTGAAAATTACAAAATAAACATTGTAATTTTTCAATGATTATGCAAAAGTTAAATAAATACTGTTATTAAAAATTTTTCTTTCTTTTTTTAAAGCATTTTTGAAGGACAATCGAGAAGTATTGAGTAACATAATTTTAAAAAAGTTTTTTATTATGCTACTTACATCAGGGTATAGAATAGGAATGTTAAACTTTTAAAATTTATATTTTATCTTCGAATTTCAAGATTTGTAAAAAATGGACCAAACCAAAAAAAAATGTAAAAATAGAATTTCTATGTAAATAAAAAGCAGAATACTACATATTATGATAAAGGAGTACATATAACATTATTAGTAAATTGTAAATTTAAGATTTTGTTGTTTTTTTCCTTAACAAATCTATCATCGAGGTATTGTTTCATTTTTCTGTATGCACAGTATTTTAGGATAATAAAATAAATAATATTAGAGCTTGTAAAATTATAAAAAATCCTTGTAAATATTATGATTATTTATAAATAAATAAGTTCATAAGTATGTTGTTTAAATTCCCTTGTTTTTAAATATAAAATATATGATGACATTTTTTATAAAAATATATATTTTTTTTATTCTTAATAAGTACCAATTTAATACACTGGAATTACGAAAATTTATTATGTATAAACGTATGTATGTATGTATATTATATATATATATATATATTTTTTACTAAATTATTTTAGTCTAAAAACAATTTTGAAAAGAAAATAATTTTCCGATATTGTTAAACCCTATCTAAATAAAATTGTAATGACATAAGAACAATTCTTATTAGGACTTAACTTAAAGTTGCTAATAAATAGACATGCAACAGTAGAAATGACATACTTTTGTAGGAAATTTGTCTTTTTTTGTTGAGTTTATAAGTTGCTTTTTTTATTTGGGTGTCTATAGACACATTTATGAATGATAAAAATTTAAAGGATTTCTCAAATTTCCAGTACTTTTTTAAATTAAATTGGAAAAATACTAAAACAAAAAAAAATGATATAAAAATCTATATAACTTATTAAAATTTGAAAATTAAAGAAATATTTGAATAATCAAAAAATTAGTATTAATTCAATAAATTAAATTAAAAAAATCCTAAAATATACTAAAAATTGAAATAAAATCTAAACTAAAAAAATACCAAAAATTGAGTATTAGGGTGTCCGTTATTTCCCAAGTTGTTTTTTACTTCGTTATCCAATTTGTTTAGTCTAAAAAAAATTGTTTTTTCCAATGTCGTTTAAACCTGCTTAAATGAGATTTTAATGATATAAGAAAATATTTATAACTCGCTAATTAATCGACATGCAACAATATAGAAGATTTTTGTAGAAAATGTTACGCTTTACAAAAAAGTTGTTTCGCGTTTTTTCACCCTTAATTTAAATCATATTTGAAGTTGAAAATATATAAAAATTGAACGCATCATCGTAAGGCAGGGTTAAACACCATTTTTTTTAAATTGTTTTTGGACTGTAAACAAATAAATTAGATAATAACCAAGTAAAAAAAAACAACTTGACATCATAACAGGCACCCTAATACCTACTCAATTTTTAGTATTTTTTTTAGTTTAATTCAAAAAATACCAAATCAAAATTTGCTTCATTTTTTTAAAGATTTTATTTCAATTTTTAGTATATTTTAGGATTTTTTCAATTTAATTTATTAAATTAATACTAATTTTTTTTTATTCAAATATTTGTTTAATTTTCAAAATTTTTTAAAGTTATTTAGATTTTTATATCAATTTTATATTTTTTTTAGTATTTTACCAATTTAATTTAAAAAAGTTCTGGAAATTTGAGAAATCCTTTAAATTTTTATTTTTAATAAAAAAATAACAGATTTGCTAAGGTTTTATTGATTTTTAGTATTTTAGAATTGTTTCAAATTAATTGTTTTAAATAATAAATTTAAATAAATCATACAAATTTGTAAAATAGTTTTTTAGAAATTTACCAAATAGATATTATAATTTATATAATAATTATTATACCAAATTTGTGTAATATAATAATTATTAAGGTATTGTAATTTTTTTTGTATTTTATAATAATAATTATACCTACATAAATAAATTAAATAATATTATAGTTGGGGATATCTCCATTTGTTAATATTTTATTTCGTATTTTTAGAAAAGGAAAAAATAAAACAAACATATAAAGATAAATAGCATGTATTTAATTATATTTAACAGAATTTCATAGTAATTTTTCGGATAATAAACCAATAAAATAAAGCCTTAGGTACAACAAAACATTGAGCAATTAAAAATATCAGAAATTTAATAACAAACAAAATATTTTATACCTTATTTTTTGTACCTAATTAAACAATCACTAATAGCATAAAACCCAGCAAAATATAATTAAAAACACGAAAATTATATTTTAAAACAAATATAAATAATAAGAGAATAACTAATATAGTCTAAGTAAAACAATGTTAATAAATAATAACATTTTTAGAGTAAGAAAAACTATAGTGTATAATATATTAACTCTTCAATTTTATATATTACACAAAACTAAGTAACTTAATAGCATTTATAAGCCATGTGTACTTAAAATTAATAAATAATATGTATGTAACTAAAATTGTTTAATTAGGCACACTATTATTAAAATGTTAATACTGTAAAACAGCATTTTCTGTATGGTAAGCTTAAAAAATTATATAGACCTTAAAATCATACAAAATTTTAGACTCTTAAATGGCTGGACGTTTTTATAAAAAAATTGTTGTAGCAACAAAATTTTATTAACTTAAAGCCAAAAAACTATTTTTCAACATAAACATGACAAAAACACCCAGCTTTGTAATTCTATTATTATAAATATAAATAAAAACTTACGGGAAATGTTTTCAGTATATTTCTTTAAGCTTTCATCCTCTTATGATTACTTTATGTACATGTTTACAGTCAATTATTAACTTTATCAGTCTTTGGCGAAGGTTAATTATATTACCAAAAATATAACTAATATATACAGTGTGATCGTCAGGTAAAAAGCCAAGCTAGAAGAAAATATTTATAGGATTGCACAATATACGGTTTTTTGATTTTATTTTTGCAGTTATTTAAATAAAAACTGTGGGACGTACCAAAAAATGTATTATATATTTTTTGTGGGCAATTTCATGATCTACAATTTGGAAAAAACCCCATTCAAATCCCAACAATGGTAAGTGTAATATTTGCAGAATTCTACCACTACAAAAAAATATTTTTAATTTTTTATTAAACACTTTCCAGTGGTTTAAAAATTTATGGAATATTTGTTGTGGACAATTTCATGATCTACAATTTGGTAAAAACTGCATTAAAATTCCACCAATGGTAAGTATAATATTTGCAGAAATATATACCTATAAAAAAAATTTAAATTTTGTATCAAAAACTTTGAAAAGCTTTATAAAAAAAACGGTGGGTAGCACAAAAAAATGTATAGTATAATTTTTGTGGGCAATTTCCTAATCTACAATTTGGAAAAACCGCATTAAAATTCCACCAATGGTAAGTATAATATTTGCAGAAATATACCACTATAAAAAAATATTTTAAATTTTTTATCAAACACTTTCCAGTGGTTTATAAAAAAAATTGTGGGTTGTACAAAAAAATGTATGGTATATTTTTCATGGAAAATTTTATGATCTACAATTTGGAAAAACCGCATTAAAATCCCACCAATAGTATGTATAATATTTGCAAAAATATCACTATATAAAAAATTATTTTTTAATTTTTTATCAGACTTTGCAAAGCCTTATAAAAAAACTGTGGGTGGTACAAAAAAAAGTATGGTATATTTTTCGTGGGTAATTTCATGATCTACAATTTGAAAAAAGCCGCATTAAAATCCCACCAATGGTAAGTATAATATTTGCAGAAATATACCACCAAAAAAAAATATTTCAAATTTTTTATTAAAGACTTTGCAGAGCTTTATAAAAAAACTGTGGGTGGTAAAAAAAATGTATATATATATTTTTCGTGGACAATTTCATGATCTACAATTTGGAAAAAACCGCGTTAAAATCCCACCAATGGCAAGCGAAATATCTTCATCCTCCCAACGACCAGACAACGCACAACAATTTAGACTAAATCTAAAAACAATAAATAGAATTTTAGGGTAAAAATTTTCATTTTAATAACAAAATTTTCGCTAAATTTTTCAGTTGTTGTTCGGCGACTGACAAAGCGACTGAACGATGTTGTCGTACTCGTTCAGGTCGGATTCGAACGTTTCAAGTTGCTTGGTGACGTCCAGCTCCGCTAGAGGGGGCAGCTCAGCGAACTCCATCAAAGGGGGCGCTGTCTGGCATTCGCGGTAGAATTTGCCCAGCTCCGTGTTGGCGTTGGTGCTGGTGAACGGTGTTTTCTTCAAAAAAAGAGAAAAAGCAGTCAGTCGACAGTTTTTAGGCGGGTGGATTCTTAATATTCAGATAGATGGCAAAAAATTACTATTTTTAAATACTTTATAATTTATACAAAATTGACTTGATTTTTAAGTATTTTTAGGGTTTTATATGACGCCGTTTTATTTTTTATTTAAGAATAGACTAAAAATATCACACAAGAATGTTTATTCTGCGAATTTACAAAATCATAGCAGATATTTTTAATTTAGTGAATTTAAAATATTTGCTTTGCTACCCACATATTTTTAATTCGTTAAATTAAAAATACCTATTAAGGAGAAATTTTTAAATGAATTAAAAATACACTGCGTGTCAAAATTAACGCATAACAAGATAAAAAAAACCAACTCTAAAACGCCTTTACCAATCTTTATGAATTTTTGTATAAAAATACTTTATACTTATATCTCAGTTTACTTGTTCAAGGGTATTTCGAGAAAATATCTTAAAGTCCTTTTATTTAATAAAAAACGCTCGAAAAAAACTTTTGGAGGGAAATTTTTTTTAAGTAAATAAAATATATGCTGTGCAAGGCCGTATTTTTGTTAGTATACCCTGAAAATTTTGTACAATTCAAACAAACAGTAAAAAAATACAGCGCTTCAAAGTCGTCAAAAATGACCACTTTTCAGCAAAATAATCAAAAAGTGGTAATTTTTACCGACTTTGAAGCGATGTATCTTCGTTACTGTTCGTTTGATATGTACAAAATTTTCAGGGTATACTAACAAAAATACGGTCTTTAACAGCATATTTTTATTTAGTTAAAAAAAAATTCCCTAAAAGTTATTTTTCGAACGTTTTTTATTATTAAAAATATTTTCTCGAAAAACTGAGATATAAGTTAAAGTATTTTTTTACAAAATTTCATAAAGGCTTTTTAGAGTTTTTTACTTATTATGCGTTAATTTTGACGCGCAGTGTATCATAGGGGAAATTTTTAATTCGATTTAATTTTTATTTTAATTCCGACTGATTGAGAGTTTGGATACCCCTGTTATTCCAAACGTCGTAGATTTCATTGATTGTGCCGCTATCTAGCGACAGAATTAGTTTGGAATTCCAGGGGTGTCCAAACTTTCAATTTGAATGAAAAATATCACAATCAATATCTTCTTATTTTAAGAAATATAAAATTGAAATGAATTAAACATTTCTCCTATGAAACTTTTTTTAAATTTAGCAAATTATAAATGTGTTTAACTAAAAAAATACGAATATAAGAAACAGATATTTCAAATTCACAAAATAAAAATTTTAGTTAAATTTAATTTTTAAATATCTACTATGATTTTTTTAATTCGCAGAATAAAAATTCTTATAAGGTATTTTTTATCCAAATGAAAATGTTGTGTTAACAAATAAGAATAATTCCTGAATAAAAAATAAAACGGCGCCCCATGGAGATTTTTTAAAAATCTACAAAAAACTTTTCACATTTTGCCATCTGCCTCCAGTAAAAAAAAAAAATAAATACTAAAAGCATAAGCGAGTTAATCACCTGTTAATAAAAAACGCTTTAGAGTGTTAATAACAACAATTAAAACAAATAAATTCGCACCATAATTCCAATTACGGCGGGTCATTCCGCCTATATAAAACAAATGAACCATAAAACCATTTGTGAAAAAAAATAAAACAAGAATAATTTACATTCACTACCATAGTTAGTTCCGCTTCCATTAAAAGTAACCTTGCAATACTTATTTTCTTTTTAGATACAAGTTTATTTTTAATTTAGCATTTACTAATGAACACATCAACAATAAAATTGATGGCAAACATATTTATTAATTGGGCGATGTTTTTTAATTAAAGAAATTCGCCTTGAAATGTTTTTATAATAGAATTTAAACAGCTCTGCTTTGCACTGGTAACCATTTTTTCATATGTGGAATATGCATATTAATAAAGCTTGTTTTTGCATTGCGTGTGTTTTAATGAAATATGTTATGCAACTTTACAACAATATTTTATATAACTGAACTTTGTATTTTAAATTAATAGAACAAAATAATAACAATACACACTGCCTTTATAAGCAACAGGTACAGCTACAGCGGTGGGAAAAACTAGCCCCATCTACCGTCCAAAAGTCGTGGCTAACTATGTAAGACTTGGTTCTAAAAAACATGTTTTGAAATTTGTCTTGTTATTATTCTGTTATAATGCAAATATTTGTATTTTATTTTTATCAGATACACAAAGATTATAACTACAACTACGTAACTAAACATCTATTTGTTTAATTTAATATTTTAATAATACATAATTAATAAATGATATCGTTATCTTATTTTTAAATTGGCGCCATGTTTTATAATTCCCAAGATTTATTATTTATTGTTATCTTGCAATATTTTTCTATGTAAAATTCTGAATGTATTACGAACAAAACAAATAAATGTGGGGTTATAAATATAGCGGTCAAAATTAACGTCAGTTATTTTATCTTATTTATTGTTGTTACGAAATTTGGTATATTATTATAAAAAAATTATACTTAAACTTTTGATAGTTTAGGACAAATAAGTAATAATGTGTAAGTCATTATTTTATTAAACCTATTTTATCGAAATTAAATGACGAAAAATGAACGTGGGCAATACATAAACACACGCTCGACTGTTTATATTAACTGCTTGATGAAATTCTAGCCGCTCTTGAAATAAGTACGATAAAGGGGCTTTGGTTTACGATTATTGTACACACATAGATTTTAAAATATAAAAGTCTTAAGTAACGTAAAATCATTTGAATCATTCATGTATGAGCAGTGTGTTGAAGTTGTTGTTTAGTTCAGTTGATACAAATACTTTTTATAGTGCAAGACTCTTTATATTTGTGGGTGTAAAATAACTACAAGCTAAACAGGTGAGCTTATCACTGAGTGTCTTTTCTTTAGTAATCTGAATGTATATTTAGGCAGCGTTGTTATTTACTAGTAATTATTGTATTTACTTTGAATATGAAAATAACCGATTTAAGGACTGATTTAATAATAGTCCGTACACACGTAAAATTATCTGGAGCGGACAATTGCGTGTTTAATCCCTTTTGTCCATTGCACTACTCAGATGTCGACCACAGGTCAAGCTCTAGTAGCTGGAGCGAGCAAGTTGCGAGTTTAGCCCTTCATGCTCATTGCACAACTCAGTACTAGGAGAAGTATGAGACGTACCGCGTGTTTAATCCCTTTACGTCTAAGGGTGATAACTAGGTAGAGGTCACGTCGCGTGTTTAATCCCCTCGTGACCTAACTGCGATCTCCTAGTTACCACGCCTTGATTATGAACAAGCTATACTAGCTATATAAATAGCAATAAAATACAATGCGTGTTATATCCCTTTGTATTTTGGTGATTGTACGAATCGTTATTAAATTGATTAGTATTTAGCAGGGTTATGAGAGTAGACACTCATGTACGTTTTCTTTATTATAGGTAAACCAGATTATGCGCACTAAATGGAAAGTACCTCGACCATCAATCAGACCATCTTGACACTTGTTAGTTTATTTGGTAATTACATTAAACATTAAATGGGTTAATAAAAACAGTTATTAATTAAAATCGTTATTTGACTTTTAACATTCTTTTCTTTTAGTTTACTTTTTAATATTTTTAAATTAAATTACAATTAATTTTTCCGCGTTACATTACTTTTCACATTTTGCCATCTGCCTCCAGTAAAAAAAAAAAATAAATACTAAAAGCATAAGCGAGTTAATCACCTGTTAATAAAAAACGCTTTAGAGTGTTAATAACAACAATTAAAACAAATAAATTCGCACCATAATTCCAATTACGGCGGGTCATTCCGCCTATATAAAACAAATGAACCATAAAACCATTTGTGAAAAAAAATAAAACAAGAATAATTTACATTCACTACCATAGTTAGTTCCGCTTCCATTAAAAGTAACCTTGCAATACTTATTTTCTTTTTAGATACAAGTTTATTTTTAATTTAGCATTTACTAATGAACACATCAACAATAAAATTGATGGCAAACATATTTATTAATTGGGCGATGTTTTTTAATTAAAGAAATTCGCCTTGAAATGTTTTTATAATAGAATTTAAACAGCTCTGCTTTGCACTGGTAACCATTTTTTCATATGTGGAATATGCATATTAATAAAGCTTGTTTTTGCATTGCGTGTGTTTTAATGAAATATGTTATGCAACTTTACAACAATATTTTATATAACTGAACTTTGTATTTTAAATTAATAGAACAAAATAATAACAATACACACTGCCTTTATAAGCAACAGGTACAGCTACAGCGGTGGGAAAAACTAGCCCCATCTACCGTCCAAAAGTCGTGGCTAACTATGTAAGACTTGGTTCTAAAAAACATGTTTTGAAATTTGTCTTGTTATTATTCTGTTATAATGCAAATATTTGTATTTTATTTTTATCAGATACACAAAGATTATAACTACAACTACGTAACTAAACATCTATTTGTTTAATTTAATATTTTAATAATACATAATTAATAAATGATATCGTTATCTTATTTTTAAATTGGCGCCATGTTTTATAATTCCCAAGATTTATTATTTATTGTTATCTTGCAATATTTTTCTATGTAAAATTCTGAATGTATTACGAACAAAACAAATAAATGTGGGGTTATAAATATAGCGGTCAAAATTAACGTCAGTTATTTTATCTTATTTATTGTTGTTACGAAATTTGGTATATTATTATAAAAAAATTATACTTAAACTTTTGATAGTTTAGGACAAATAAGTAATAATGTAATGATATTCAGTAAGAAATTTGTGTTTTAAAAAAACAATATTTTGCAAAATTTTGCTTTTTGATTTAATTTTTTCAAATGTCTTTGGGACAGAGATAGAAATTATTTTTTTAGTTTTTGTGTTTTTTTTAAGACAATTTGGGAATTTTGAAACATTGTATACATTTTTGTAAATTTCATTATAGT